TGAGGGGGAATTTGGTTATTTCCATTGGGCCTATGTGTAAACTGCCTCTACCTAGCCACCCATCCACCCTGGAGTTTCAGGCTCAGTATAGTTTTACACTCCCTTCCATGTTCTTTTAAATTATTTACTGGAAGACAAGATTCTAGATTTGTCTTACCAAGACAAATCAATAGATTGAGCCAATGTGATGTCCTGCAGAACATCAGAATCCTTTTAGACTCTTAGGAAAAAAGGTAGGAGAGTAAAACAGTCTCTGAACAAGAACGTAAGTGTATACTGTAGTACTTCCCTAGAGACTTTTGTTTCCCACTTCTGGTACTCCTATTGATAGTAATAGGGGGATGTATGTTCCAGATCAACAGCTAAGGCCATGTTAATCTGCTCTAGCAAATATTCCACATCTTATACAGCAGCTACAATTGTGCTAAACTTGGTTGAATCCAAAGTAGTCCACTATCATCCTTCAGCATTTAACAGGTTTCTTTTGTAGCCAAAAATGCATACCTCATGTCTTTAAAGGTGGCACTAATCTCTGACATTCTTCTTCTGATACAATATTGATTTTCATTTACTGTCATAGCCAAATCAAATAGTTTTAGAGTCCTCTAACACACCATAATGTTTCTTAACCCCAGGGCTAAAGAATCAATGCCAAAATACCAACTGTGTCTGTTGGTACCACTTGGGTGCCAGGGAAATGATCGATGGGAGGATCAGATCCCCTAGAAAATGTACTCTGAGGCACAGATTTCTGTTCAGGGAGTTTTTGTGAAGAGAACTGTGAGCAATAATTCCTGTGAAAGATAGAGGATATGAGGTTTGGTATGGGGAAAAGCTGAATTATAGTGCAATTACAATAAGCCTTCAATTGGTTCCATAGGGAAACTTAAAAGTTGGGACAGCCCTTCAGAGTTGTCCCAAATTGAGGCAAAGGGGCCAGGATTTTGTGCCATTGCATTGAACATTTATTGAATTCAGTATGTCACAGGGGAGGCTTCTTTCATACACAAGAGTCAGTATAATTTCAGCTGAGATAATGCCTGGAAAGGAACTTCACTGACTTTGGAAATAATAAAAGCCCAAAATCTTGAAAGGGAATATTAATGATTCATTCTAAAGTCCATTACGCTGGTCTCCATATTTTGCAGTAAAATAATAGTAAATAAAAATATGGCAGAGAATATACCTATTATTACTATTCATTATAAAAACTCAAGTTTATATAAACTCAAGTTTAACTAGGAAATCTGCATTCTACATCTGGCCACATTATCCCTAGAGAGAACATAAAAGAAAAGCTAAAAGAGTATTAATGTATTTCTCTTTTATAGTATTATACTGTGGATAATATGAAAACCTGACATGGGAGCCCAGTGATAAAAAACTGGTTAACCTCAACAACTTTCTCTTTGTTCAGAATCCTTAGGTTGTCTAATTATAGGGATTCTATGTCCTTCACTACATTTTACCACAGGAAACAGAAATAGGCTTACATAGAACATTTTGGAAATATTAAGGAAACTGGATTGGGGGAAAGACACAGGACATAGTATACATAAGAGAAAAAAAAACTGGAGCAATAGGAATGGAAAGAAGGGAAGGGGAAGAGATATCACTGAGAAAGATTCAGAGAATTTACTGACTGCATGATGTACAAAAATAGAAGGTGAACAAAATCTAATCAAATGTAAGCTCTTGATTTTAGGTTATAGAAGAAATAAAGATGTATAAGATATATGTTAAGCTGGGCGTGGTGCTGCATGTCTGTAATCCCAGGAGCTCTGGCCGCAGGGGCAGGAGGATCCCAAGTTTAAAGCCAGCCTCAGCAACTTAGTGAGATCCTAAGCAACTTAGTGAGACCCTGTCTCCAATAAATAAAAATGACTAGGGATTTGATTCAGTGGTAAATTACCCCTGAGTTCAAACCCCAGAACCCACCCCCAAAAAATAACATATAAAACAAAAAAGAAATAGATTCAAAGGGAGAGAAATTATACATGTCATATCAATGTCATATCATTCATCAGAATATAATATATGTGAATAAATTAACTAATATATCACACCAAGCTGTTGTTATTGAGCAGGTGATCATTTTCCACTAAATATATTACACCTGAGACTTTATAGATATTTTTAACCACCTGGCATTTCTACAAGCTGTACTCAGGATGTTAACTTACACCAGGAAAAATTATTAGCTAAAAATATAGACAAACCCTGAGAAATAAAATTTTTCAAATTTAGAATCTTAATTCAAAGATTTTATATTTATTAGAAATATTTGTCTACAAAAGGCAATTCCTAACTTGATTTCATTTTTAAAAATTATTTTACATTATCTATATTACTAAAGCTCTTTTTTAAAAATACTTTTTAATTGTCAATGGACTTTTTTCCTTTATATATATTTTTTAATTGGTTGTTCAAAACATTACAAAGCTCTTGACATATCATATTTCATACATTAGATTCAAGTGGGTTATGAACTCCCATTTTTACCCCAAATACAGATTGCAGAATCACATCGGACTTTTATTTTACTTATTTATATGCAGTGCTGAGAATCAAACTTAGTGCCTCACAAATGCTAGGCAAGCGCTCTACCACTGAGCCACAACCTCAGCCCCCTAAAGGTTTTCTTTTTTTTTTTGTAATATTATTATTACTTATATTTATTTATTTATTTTTAATTTTTTATTGGTTGTTCAAAACATTACAAAGCTCTTGACATATCATATTTCATACATTAGATTCAAGTGGGTTATGAACACCCATTTTTACCCCAAATACAGATTGCAGAATCACATCGGTTATACATTCACATTTTTACATAATGCCATATTAGTAACTGTTGTATTCTGCTATCTTTCCTATCCTCTACTAATCCCCCCTCCCCTCCCCTCCTATCTTCTCTCTCTACCCCATCTACTGTAATTCATTTCTCTTCTTGTTTATTTTCCCATTCCCCTCACAACCTCTTATATGTAATTTTGTGTAACAATGAGGGTCTCCTTCCATTTCCATGCAATTTCCCTTTTCTCTCTCTTTCCCTCCCACCTCATGTCTCTGTTTAATGTTAATCTTTTCCTCCTGCTCTTCCTCCCTACTCTGTTCTTAGTTGTTCTCATTATATCAAAGAAGACATTTGGCATTGTTTTTTAGGGATTGGCTAGCTTCACTTAGCATAATCTGCTCTAGTGCCATCCATTTCCCTGCAAATTCCATGATTTTGTCATTTTTTAGTGCTGCGTAATACTCCATGGTGTATAAATGCCACATTTTTTTATCCAATCATCTATTGAAGGGCATCTGGGTTGGTTCCACAGTCTAGCTATTGTGAATTGTGCTGCTATGAACATCAATGTGGCAGTGTCCTAGTAGTACGCTCTTTTAAGGTCTTCAGGGAATAGTCCGAGAAGGGCAATAGCTGGGTCAAATGGTGGTTCCATTCCCAGTGAATTATTAGGAGCTCTCCCTGATAACTTGTACTTAAGATTAAGTGGGTTTCACCATTTGACCCTGCTTATCCCACTCCCTGGTCTATACTCAAAGGATTTTTAAAAAACATACTACAGGGACAGAGTCACATCAATGTTTATAGCAGCACAATTCACAATACCTAAACTGTGGAACCAACCTACATGCCAATCAATAGATGAATGGATAAAAAAAAATGTGGCATATAGACACAATGGAATATTACTCAGCAATAAAAAAAGAATAAAATCATGGCATTTCCAGGTAAATGGATGGAGTTAGAGAATAATATAATGCTAAGTGAAGTTAGCCAATCCCCCAAAAAACATATGTCAAATGTTTTCTCTAATATAAGGATGCTGATTCACAATGGGGCTACGGGAGAACATGGGAGATTTAGATAACTCTACATAGAGCAAAGGGAAAGGAGGGTAGGGAGGCCTCAAGAGGGTAGAAAAAACACGGTGCAATGAGATGGACATCATTACCCTAAGTACATGTATAAAGGCACAATGGTGTGACTATACTTTGTGTACAAGCAGAAATGTGAAAAATTGTGCTCTATATGTGTAATATGAATTATAATGCATTCTACTCTCATATACAACAAATTAGAATTAAAAAAAGAATAATAAAAAATGATTAAGTGGCTTTCACTTTTCAATTAAATATGGCAAATACTATATACCTTTATCTCATTAGTAAAAATTACAAGTTAAAAATAAACATAAGCTAATGCTATATATACCTTTAACTGGACTATAACAATAATTGTCAATATTTTTGTAACTTTTATTCCAGGTTCTATTACAAGCATTTTCCCTTAATTCTCATTAAGACTTTAAGAAATACCCATTATTATCAATATTTTCACAGTTGAGAAAAATGAGATACAGAGGAGATAACTTAGTGGCTGGAAGTTTCACAGCAACTAGGGGCAGAACTGATATTTGAATGCAGTACATTCTGGTGTCAGAGTCTATGCAGCTAACCACTAGACCACACTATCTCCCAGTTAAATTATCTGCCCTCTTCCTATTAAAGAGAACACATATAAATGGTGCTCCGTGTTTCTCTCATTCATATCTGATTAAAACCAGTATATCAATTGTCTTTAACTCTCTGTCAGAGACAGTCTCCTCTGTAGGTAGGTACCCCACCTGTCCTATATTCACCTCCCATTACACTTGATATGCTGATCTACCATTGTTTTTTTTTTCTTTTTGTTCCCGATTGATTACAATTCCTTCAAGCAAGAATTATTGAAAGATGGGCACACAACACAGGCCTAGAATACAGTATTGGTCTAGTAAGTGTCTGTTACAAGAACAAATGCTTCTCATTGTTGCAGATCTGCTTATTGGCTCTCCAAAACTGTCATATCTACCCCTCTATCTACACACCATCATCACTTTGAATTCAACTTTTGCAATTCTCCACGATGCAACAAACTTCACATTTGTCTTTGAAATACTTTGGAAGGCACAACAATAACTGTTCCAAGAGAAACAATATCTTACCTTCTAAATCTTCTTTCTCAAAGTGTGTTTTGAGAATAGAACGAGTACCGCCTCTATCCACAACTGCTTCTTCATCATTTCTCTGTAGAATGGAGAAAAAGATTAAATAAATATAATTTATCTTATAGTTTATCTTCAAAAAATAAGACTTAATATGCTCTAATATTTAGGGGATTAATTCAGTCACTTAAATCCATTTGTACATTAGTAGCCCATTAGATTATCAAGTGTGGATTTTAGAAAAGAGACTAAAATTAATTTCACCATATATTCACTAAGGAATATCATCTGATTTTTCATAATATTGGTGGTATATAAACATTCCCATTGGCATCATTTGCTAGTGAAATGAAAAACAGGAAACAAACAGCTATCCCATCAATTTAGTAACATACATCTTTATCTCTGATAAAGAATTCTTATTAACAAGGTCACATTTTGAACCACACAAGGAAAGTATGAAAAGTATTAACACCATTAATGCTATGGCAGGGTGAAATGATTCCACTGCCATTAAAAATTGAACTAATCCCTTGAAAGCAATTATTAGACAATCATTAGGTAAACAACAACTCTAATTACTTTGCTTCAGTATAATGCTTTTTATTCAAACTAGATGGTGAATTATGATGAAGTACATTAAGCCTTCATTTAGTTTCCGTATATAATTTTACCAAATTAGAATGGCTTGGCAAATGCTATGTCTTCTGAACATTCGTGCTCAAAAATAATAAACTCACTAACTTGATACTCAATAAAGTAATGGAGAAAGCATTATGTTAGTACAATCAATCAGTACAATCAATTTGACCATAGAGGATGTTATGGTTTGAATCTAAAATGTCCTCCTAAAGTTTATATGTTAAAGACTGTGTACCCAATGGAGCAGTGTTCAGAGCTGGGGCTTTTGGAAGGTGATTGAATCATAAGGGCTTTAAAACTTCATGAATGGATTAATCCATTGACGGGTTTATGATTTAATGTGCTATGAGGTGGTGGAAACTTAGGAGATGAGGTTTAATTGGAGGAAGTAGGTCCTTGGGGGTGTGTCCTCAAAGGCTAAATCTTTCGCCTGGGTCCCTCTTCTCTTTCTGACTCCCCTACCATGAAGTTTACCCTACCATATGTTCCCTGCATTGATATTCTGCCTCACCACAGGCTGAGAAACAATAGATCCATGCACATAACCATGGCTGAAATCTCCAAAACCACGAGGCAAAATTAACCTTTGCTGTTTTTAAAATTATTTCTTTCAGGTATGTTGTCACAGCAATGGAAAGCTGACTAACACACAGGAATAAATGGAACTAAAAAATACTAAAGGAAGTGAAATATAAATTATTTTTTACTTTTATCTGGTTGTGAATATCCATGTAGCAAATGGTTTAAAAGTGAACAGTAAGCACAACAGGAGAAATTAAAAGATAAACTAAAGATGAACAAAGCTTCCAGCATCTAGATCTATTTCCAATTCTATTCTAGTATATGATTATTTTTAAAAAGTAAAAATTTGTTCTTCTTTGAAATCCAGAGTATGCCAAAGAAGCAGGAGAATAAATAATCTTTTCTTCTTCTCATCAGTTAACTTGACACATCAGATCCTATGGACATGCTTTCATTGCATTAAGAAAATGACTTTTGACTGAGTACCACAATGCATACTACTGAAATTGGGAATTCTGGGAATCCAGAGATAAAAAGGAATCATTGCTCATTTAAGACCATGAACAAAACAGACAGGGAGTGAAAACAAATGAAAAGCCAATGTTTCAAGCTTTGGGAAATTTGTGCCAATAAGATATATAAAGAATAAGAGTAAGGGGGCTGGGGATGTGGCTCAAGCGGTAGCATGCTCGCCTGGCAGCCTGGCATGCGCAGGGTGCTGGGTTCCATCCTCAGCACCACATAAAAATAAAATGAAGATGTTGTGTCCACTGAAAACTAAAAAATAAATATTAAAAAATTCTCTCTCTCTCTCTCTCTCTCTCTCTCTCTCTCTCTCTCTCTCTCTCTCTCTCTCTAAAAAAAAAAGAATTAGAGTAAGGGGAAGAGAAATAAAAGAAGAACCAAATTGACAAGCTATATATATTTTGAGAAATGAAACAAAATTATTTTGCAATGTTTTTGTACTTGAACTATATGATCATTGATAACCTCAAGAAGGAATACATATAAGGAAAATGTCAAAATCAAAACCTAAACAAGTGAAGTAAATGAGGTAAACTATTGAGAATAAGTGGAGGAAGAAGAGCATATCATGCAAAACACTACAGATTCTTCTTAGGACCCCCCTTATCAACTCTCTTTGCTTTTTTGGCTTATAATGAGATTTAAGGCCCAACAGGTCCAAAAAAAATGAGATGTAAAACATGACCCAGGGCTGGGGTTGTGGCTCAGTGGTAAAGCACTTGCCTAGCACTCGTGAGGTACTGGGTTTGATCTCTAGCATATAAAAACTAAATAAACAAAATAAAGGTTCTGTGTCCATCTAAAATCTAAAAATATTTTTTAAAATGACCCATGAACATTTGACCTATACTCAAAAATAATTGCAATATTCTTCTAATTTGCACCAACAGAAATCTAGAGAATGTGTGTGAGAATGGAAATTAAGGATTGGGATAATGATAGAAGGAATATGGAGGTAGCTTGGATTCAATTAATTCATGCAGATGCACTAAGAAAATTCCATATTCAGTTTTAAAGTTCCCAGGGTTAGAAAGGGCTCTAACAGTATGGTTGATTGACTAAAACACAAGCCAAAAGGTGGGTCACACTAAATGAAGTTAAATGACAGAACTGCTTCAGCATACTATTGAGGAAAAAGTGCCTGATGGCTTAGGGGGAATGGAATGTTGGACTGGATTTATCACAAAGGCCTGCTCACGTTTCCAGGAGGTTCCAGAGGATACAGCTTTTACCATGACTGTGAAAAATAAATTTGTGAGGGGAATGAAGCATCCTTAAGCATAACTGTGGTCTCTCACCATAGGTCAGAAATTACAACAGAAACTGCTGTCATTGAACTGTCTTTGATACCTAATTATGATAGAATAACTAGATCCCAGGGTAAGAGGGTAGTAGCAAAGGCCAAGTAATAGCAATTAATCACTAAGACAAGATGGGTGTGGTTACCATATGTCCAACAGAATCAAAACAATAACAGTATGACTCAAAAAGAACAATGTTACTGGCTAGTTGATTGAGGTGTTCCTACAAGTGAAATAGATGGACTGTCTGCTAAATTTTTTATCTGTATAAGCCAAAAGTTTCTAAGCCAAGTGAACAGAAGTCTAATTTGAATCATCAAAACAAAAAGTCAACCTTTCAATAAATTCCCATATGGGAGCCAACTTACAAGCACAGAATCCCTTATAAGGGAGAGAGGACAGATCCACTTAAGGAAGAACCCTGCTACACTGCCAAAAACTTACAGTATTTTTTATAGCTCTCTCCAAAGGGACTTCTCACGTTTTACCATGGTGGCCATACATTGGGGATAAGAAAATAATCTAACTTTGGGGGGATTTCTGGACACTGGCCTTGAATTAATACTTACCCCAGTAGACTCAAATTGTAACTTTGGTCCACCAGCCAGAGAGGGCCTTATGGATGTCAGGTAATCAATGGAGTTTTAGCTTAAGTCAGTCTCATTATGGATCCAATGGGTTGCTAGACATATCTTGTGATTATTTTCCCTCTTCCAAAATGAATAATTGAAACAAACATGGGTTACAATTATAGGAGTTTTCAAAATTAAATTGGTGGGTTTTTTCTTTTCAAATATTTAGATTCCTTGGCATATCTGATGGATGAAAGGAAGGTACCAATACAGACAAGAATGAAGATGCTAGGAAAGAAAGAAATTTTTAAAAATTGCCCTGTGCTAAGTATCAGAAAAGATGACAATGATCCAAGGACTTAGCCACCAGCATTAGAGATAAGAACTCTATTTTTCTGAGATTTAAAGGGAAAACCAGAAGAGTTGTTATTTTCAAAGATATTCTGAAGAAAAAAAGAGAATGGCAGATAAGAAAATCTCTATTAGAAAACCTCAGATGGCCTTGTTTTGGGGTAGTGAGGGTACTAAGAAATGACATCATTTTCCAACACTGACAGAGTGAGTAAATAAAGGAACTGAGTCATTGAGAAGAGTAAAATACTTGAACTCTCATGAATACAAGTTTAGAACATTATATGTTGCCCCATTAATATATAAAATTTTTATGTTTTGTGTATCAGGTAAATTTTCAGAAATTAGAAAATAAAAAGTATTTTTTAAATCTACTTTGAGACTGGCATTATAATCAACACTATAAAGGTATCTGTTGTGGATAATCAAAACAGATAACTATTCCCATAAGCTCTAATTTGAAGTGGCCAGGACAAAGGAGTCTAAGAGGAAAAAAAATCACAATATTTTCTAATTCCTTTTCATAAAATACTAAAGACAGTTAAAATACTGTAAGAACAGATCATAACAAGTTATACCATTCACACCTTAGTATCATGTTTCCAATTAGCTGTTCTGATTAGTTTAATAATCTCTTAGAAATATCTTCAGAGGATTAGGTACTGTACTAGTAAAAGGAACGAGAGGAATATAGTTAAATATTTTCCTAACTATTAGGATAAAATGAATAGCATTGTTGAAAGTCTAAAGAGATGTTATAGTCAGGTGTCTGAAGTGAGGGACAATGTATCTAACACATATTGTTTTATACCAATAAAGTTTAAAAATTCTGTGTCAGTGAATATCATAAATTATTTACATATAAAAATGTTTTTAAATTCTGGAACATAATCTTGATAAAAATTAAGACTCTATGTTTTACAAATGTACTTATTTTCAGGCAAAAGATAATAGACATATTTCAACATAGGAAAATCAGCTCTCATGTGCTTCACACACAGACAAATACACAATAGAACAGCATATTTTTTAGCTTGAGGCCTTGTGTCTTTCTGACAAAATTTTCATTGACATGTCAGGGAAAAATGTTTGAAATCACAGAAAGAATTGTATACTTGAATGAGAGAATATTAGAGAAAAAGTGAAAAGATAGGATTCTGAAGACCAGA